AAAAAGAACTTCATCTTTCAGCTATCACAACTTCCAATATTTCATTAGATATATTTCACTCATCTTCATTCATCGTAGATAAATATCCTCTAAGAGCAAATGACAACTTTTCTTTGTCATAGTTCAACTGCTATACTAGAAAATTATTTTGATATCTATTAAGTTGATTATCATCTCCAAATGGCATTCCATTGAATTCCTTAAAGATCGTCCATTCCAATTAAGCAACTTTTCAATCTCAATTAGACATAAATTCTTTAGGTCTTCTCGTGAGATTATAAGCTCTACAAAAAAAGAATTATTTATTTCTATGTAGTGCTCAATTGAAAAGTTTTGTATTCATATAATGCATTTCTAATGAACTAATAATTTTAAAAACTATCTTTATATTCAAGTACCTTGATTTTGCAATATTCTCATTCGATCAAATAAAATTCCATCCACCGGGAGTTTCTATTATAATTTTTTCAAAATAATTTGTGGGTAACTCATGGTACTTGGACGAACAACATTCTTAGCATATTTCCAAATCCTAACTTAGCAACTAACCTCTTTTATACCTTCTGTAAGTTCTTTATCATTGTTTAATAACCTCAATGCTTCACATTACTCTTCTCAAGCTCTTATAACTTGTACATTTTCGCTGGACAGTTAATAGTATTCTCAAGTAGTATAACTCTCTGGTTTCTTTAAGTACATATTGTAGCCTGCCTATTGATGGTCTTTGTTGCATCGAGACAATTTCCACACTTTATGGTTGTACACAAAAAGATCTGGAAATTCTTTGCATACGTCAAATTTTATCCCGCATTATACTGTGTATTAAAATCATACAAGCTTCCAACATTGAAGCTTTGTGAATATTTTCTTCGACACCATCTTTTAGCTTTTGTTGTTTTCTAAAGGTTACAAATTTTAGCCTTAGAAGATGGAAATTCAACCTCAAGTGTGTCCACCATATTAATTTACGTAGTATTTTCTTACATTGTTTATAATATCTTATACATATAGTTAGTTAATACACAAATACAATTGTTTTATTATCATCTTCAAAGAAATTAAAAACATGTGTTATAGAAGATAGATCAATTCTCCTCTGTTTCTTATGCACTTGAAAGCACGATGAATTGTGTAACTATTCTCTGATTGGAGCACTGTATAAATATTTTTGAGAAAAAAATTACAGGAAAATCTAAATATTTAATTCAGAATAATAAAAATATTATTTGTCACATTACAGAATATATTCTTTCTCGAAAATGTTCGATAATGCGAGGTTATAGCCGATGACGGCCTCTCTCCTTCTGTATCTATAATAACCATCATTAAATAAATATTTTCAATACTTTTATCTAAAAACTTTAAACATAAAAAAATTCTATAATCCAGTACTATTTGTTACATTGCTATCGATGGTCAGATGAATAAATAAGCAAGAATATTACTTATTTATATTATTTTGACATAGATGTAGAAATAGACATGTTTTTTCTTTTCAAGAATTTTAATTAATACTAATTACACTTAAAATAATTAATATTATACCATAAATATTTTAATTAGGAACACATATTAATAATTAATTTCCTACACATAAATATTGACACACTAAGTCTTCATCATTTTAAAAATTATTAATGGAAAATTTAATTTTGTGGCACACATCGATCTATAAATTTTTACAAAGTTAGTAATGGAAAATAATAATTCAAAAATGGAACATACTTGTTATTTGACTTAGAATTTTCTAATATAAAATTATTGGCCTATTAAATAAACATGCCCCTAAAAATTCCTTTTCTTTTATATATTTATTTCTTTGTTTCAAAGTTGGAAAATCTCTGCAATTTGTATTAATTCAAAGTAAAAACAAATATTCACATGTTATTTCTTTTAGTCCTACCAATCTATCTGTTCTTAAAATAAATTTATTTGTTTTGATTATTATTTTTGAATATAAGTTTCTTTTCAATATTAAATATAATATTTAATTTAAATATTTTCCGACAATGAATTAAGATATAAAGTTTTTAAACGCGATTATGCTGAGAAATGTGTGTAACAAATATGAAATTTAATTTTCATAGAATAATTATTTCTGTTAACTAATTCTTTAAATATGATTTGATGACATGACGTGCTAACATGTAAAAAATTGCCAAATAAGCGCGCCACATGTTACAATTCTAGAAGCCTAACTCTCAAATTTTATATATAAAGATATATAAGGATATATATATATATATATATATATATATATATATATATATATATATATATATATATATATATATACATGCTCTAGTCACATGACGTCAAGCTCACCACACTACACTACAAAGCTCACCAATAGACAATGCAAAGCACACCTGGAAATAAAGCTCGCCACTTTGAACACCAAAACTCACTTTTTTTAAAATTTTGAAAATAAAAAAATGAATTAAAAATAAAATAGCAACACTGGTCAACAATCGGTCAGTAGCGGCAACGCGGTGGAAGAGCAGCGGTGGTCAAAGGTGGTGGTCAACGGTCAAAATCTAGTCAACACCCGATTTTTGCGTGCAACTGTAGAGGAGGGTGTAACGCCCCGAAACATACCCTAGAATTATTATTAAATAATTATTCGATTAAACAAATTTGTTTTGATTATTATTGGGCTTTGGGCTGATATGAAATATTTTTTTTATCCAATATCAAAATCTGGATAAGTCTAATTGAGATAAATCCAATATGTGGACTATTTGTGTGGTCTTGATTGGGAACCTGAGTACAGACCCAAATCAAGAATAAATAAATAAATTAATTATGATGTGAACTTTGTAATGATTTATTGAAATAAATCATGAGAATAATTGATATGAATTAAATGAGAGAACCTTTTATGAGAAAGGTCAATTAAACCAATTTTGACTCTGTTAAAGTCAAACACCCAAAAATATGATGTCGGAAAAAGTATTACAAATAAATATAAAAATTATATCGTTAGATAGAGTTTAACTGCCCGATCGCAACGGTGCAAACGGAATTCAATTCGGAGAAAGTTGGACCAAAAAGTGTACCCCGACTGGAACCAAAATTGGTCCCAATCAGGGACACTGTGCGAACGGCGCCTCCTTCCCCACT